CGTGGCCATCCCCCCTGGGGGATGATTTCTCGCTTTCTGTCTCCGTCCGTCTGGCCAGTGCATGCGCCCTATAGCAAAAACCTCTTCAAAAAAAAAAAAGAAAGAAAGAAAGAAAGAAAGAAATATCTTTGCTATAGGGTACATGGTCACCAGAGAGGTAGACGGGCAGAGAGACAGAAAGTGAGAAATTACCCAACAGGAGAGATGGCTACGCCGCAATCCCTTTTCCTTCATTCTCCTCTTGGGATTTTTTCATGGCGCGCGCAAGGGCACACACACACACACACACCTGACTTGAGTTTTATGCAGCCAGGTCTGGGACTCAAACTATAGTCAATTATGTGGGAGTTCAGTGACTTAACCATTAGTTTGTGGTAATTTTTTATAGTAGCAATGGAGGCTTAAGCAATTAATCACCACCAACATATAGCTTCTTTTTTTATTTTTTGCTAAAGGAGACACATACTTGCCAAGGAGAGACAGAAAGGGAGAAGAGAAAGCACGCCCCATGGGGCACGGTCACATCCTAATCCCTTCTCCTCCTTTCACGATTTTAATATCTATATGTGTGTGCCCGGTGTTTCTCAAGTTGCCAGGTCTGGCAAACTATGCAGTCAGTCACGTGGGATCTGGCTGCCTTAACTAACTACTACATCACAGAGCCAAGCTAACATATAAACTTCAATGAAAGAAAAAAATCACACCTCTCGAAGAATGGCATTGCCGTCATTGGTCATCACTATGCCTCCCATTGGGTCCAACAGCATCTAAGACAAAAGTAGAAGTTACTTCAAGTATCCTAGACAATGGAAAGGACAAATCTGTAGTCTTAAGAGTTTCAATTGCAGATAAGCCTACCTTCATCATGGACTTGGGTCCCAAACATGTTCTGATGATATCTGCGATAGTCTGATGGAAAGGAAACACAAAACATGCAACCACAATCAGCAGACAGTGTGTGTTTGAGTTGTAGGAAAAAGGGGCATGAAGAAGTGAGAGCTAGTGTTTTACCAGCGTCACCTCTGAGGTAAGGCTGGCAATCACTTTAGATACAGCACGACATGTGGCTGGCTCCAGTTTTCTTGTTTTCCCTGAGAATGCTTTTAGGTTAGACACAGAATTAAATGCTTGATTTAAAAAAAAAGGGGGGGGGACACTTCAGTTTTTCAGCAGTCCAAACTACTGGAAGTCCAAATCTTAGTGTTTCTTACCATGACAGTGGCCTTGACACCACCCTAAATCAGATCTAGGGCTACTTCACTATTTTGTTCAAAAGATAGTTATTGGCCCAGCCTCTGTGGTGCCGTCTGTAGTGTACCGAATTGCAGTACTGGAAGCCACATGGCCGACTGCAGGTTTAGATCCCCTGGTCTGGTCAACCTGACATATGTAGGTATAAGCCCAAGACCCTGACAAGTTATAGGACTTGAGAAACGGCATCACAGTATGAGCAGTCCCTGTTGGGAGCTCTTTTTCTCTCTCTCTTACATGCATGTACTATCACAAATAAAATAAATACACTAAAAATAAAAAAATACTGAGTACCCAGGATCTACAGGGGTTGCAGAGGCACCACAGCTACAAAAGAGAATCAGTGCAGTCCTTTGCCTCAAGGAACTCGGTCTTACAGGGGACAGACACAAACAGAATACTGTAAAACAGCAATAGAAATATACACAGAATAATTTAAGATTATTAGGCCTAACTCTGAGAAGGGCTTCATTAGAGAAACATCTTGAAGGAAAGGAAGTCAATGTGTCCTCTAATTGCACACAGTAGGGTCTGGATGTACATAAAATTTACCACTCAGAAACACTAGGTGGACGCAAACTACTATAAATATTTAAGATTTGCTACCTTGGCAGCATTGATGTTTCCAGACTGAACTTTTCTTCCAGATTCTCGCTTTGTGTTCTGGCCTAAAATGTATAAAAGCAAAAAATCAATTGCCTGGACCTCTGAAGATAAAATTAAATACAACTGTTTCACAGTGTATACAAATATCAGAGTTCACCAAATTGTACACATCAAGTACATGCAGATTATGTATCAATTATACTTTCTAACTTTATTTACTTCTCAATTTGACCAGAGAAGGCAGAGTCAGAGAGAGAGAGATGGAAAGTGAGAAAGCAAGCTGCCAGGTCTAGGACTAGAACAGTGGTTGGTCATGTGGAAGTCCAGACCCTATGCTTTAAAAAAAACTTAAAAAAATATATACTTTTATTATAATCCCCAGCTGACTATGAAATAACCCATAATGCTTCAGCTTTGGAATCTTGGTCCATACTTTCCCTCTAACCAAAGGTTCGCGTATGTACAGCAGGAAAAAAAAAGGTACAGAAGAAATTCATAACCTGAGATTCAAGAAACCAGTCAGATACTGAACTCCCTGAGATTACATGAGGAAACGAGAGATTCTACAGCCCCCTCTCCCAAAAGGATCCATAGGGAACATCAGATTCTCAATGGGCTAGTGACTTTAAGTATCAACTGTGGTCAGCAGATAGCATAGCAGTTACATAGCTGGACTCCCACATAGCTGACCAAAGTCTGATCTCCAGATCTGGTGCCTTGAAAGTCATGCCAGCCCTTTGAGCATGTATGCTCAAGATCTTGGAGAAGGGGACCAGCAGTTAGCACAATGGCTATGTCGCTGGACTCCCACGTAGTCGACTGCAGTTCGAGTCCCGGACCCGGTGGCTTAGAACTCACGCCGGGAGCATATGTGTGCGTGCCAAGATCCCGAGAGGAGAACGGAGAAGGGACTGCGGCATGGCCATCCCCCTGGGGGGTGATTTCTCGCTTTCTGATTCTCTCCATCTGTCTGGCGAGCACACGCGCCCTATAGCAAAAACCTCTCCAAAAAAAAAAAAATCTTGGAGAAGGGACTGAAGGGACTGCAGCATGGCCATCCCCTTCGACAGTGATTTTTCTTTTCCTCTCATTGTCTCCATAGAGACATGTGCCCTAAGGCAAAAAAAAACACTTAAACAAAAAAAAGAAAAAGAAACGTCAATTAACTTTTTTTTGAGAGGTTTTTGCTCTAGAGCAAGTGCACGCTTGCAAGAAAGACAGAGAAAAACAAAGAGACAGAAAGCGAGAAATCACCACCCCCCCACATGGGGGATGGCCACGCCACAATCCCTTTTCCTCCCTTATCCTCTCGGGATCTTGGGCATGCACACAAACGCACTGGCATGAGTTTAAGCCACTGGGTCTGGGACTTGAACTGCGGTCGACTACATGGGAGTCCAGCGACATAGCCATAAGCTAACTGCTAGTC